CCCTGGGTTTGTGGGGTGTCCCTGGGTTTGTCCCTGGTTTGTGGGGTATCCTTGTGTTTTCCCTTGGATTCATGGGGTGTCCCTGGGTTTGTGGGGCATCCTTGTGTTTCCCTTGGATTTGCGGGATGTACCTGGGTTTTTCCCTGGTTTGTGGGGTGTTCTTATGTTTCCCCTGGATTTGTGGGATGTCCCTGGGTTTATGGGGTGTCCTTCTGTTTTCCCCCTGGATTTGTGCATCCACACATTTATCACGTTCCGTCCCAGCCCACCCCAGACGGGAACTTCCCTCCCTCCCTCCCCACACTCCCCGTCCCCCTTTCCCTCCCATTCCCTCCCTGGGTTTGTCCCTGGGTTTGTGGGGCATCCTTGTGTTTTCCCCTGGATTCATGGGGTGTCCCCGGGTTTTTGGGGTGTTCCTGGGTTTGTCCCTGGTTTGTGGGGTATCCTTTTGTTTTTCCCTGGATCCATGGGGTGTCCCTGGGTTTGTGGGGCATCCTTGTGTTTCCCCTGGGTTCATGGGGTGTCCCTGGGTTTGTCCCTGGATTGTGGGGCATCCTTATGTTTTTCCCTGGTTTGTGGAGTGTCCTTGTGTTTCCCCTGAATTCATGGGGTGTCCCTGGGTTTTTGGGGTGTCCCTGGGTTTGTCCCTGGTTTGTGGGGTGTCCCTGGGTTTGTGGGGCATCCTTATGTTTCCCCTGGATCTGTGGGGTGTCCCTGGGTTTTTGGGGTGTCCCTGGGTTTGTCCTGGTTTGTGGGGCATCCTTATGTTTCCCCTGGATTCATGGGGTGTCCCTGGGTTTTTGGGGTGTCCCTGAGTTTGTCCTGGTTTGTGGGGCATCCTTGTGTTTCCCCTGGATTCGTGGGGTGTCCCTGGGTTTGTCCCTGGGTTTGTGGGGCATCCTCGTGTTTTCCCGCTCCCTCCATCCCAGTTTTTTTTCCTGAGCCGCCCTCCCAGGTACGTGTGCATCCGGGGGGTGTTCATCCTGACCACGGAGTGCCCGTCGCTGACGGTCACCTTGGTGGTGACGCTGCGGAAGTTCGTCAGCCTCATCTTCTCCATCCTCTACTTCCGCAACCCCTTCACGGCCTGGCACTGGCTGGGCACCGCCCTCGTCTTCCTGGGCACCCTCCTCTACGCCGAGGTCTGGCACAGCCTGGGCTCCCTCCTGGCCCGCTGCAGGAGGAGCAGGAGGAGGCCCAAGGAGGAGTGACAAGAGTGTTTTTTCCGGGGAATTCCCCCCTGAGGGGGGTGTTTTTATAGGAGGGGTTGGCTGGGCCAAGCTCCTGGGAATCATCGGAACCCGAACGCCGGGAACTGGGACGGATCATGGACAAACAACGAGGTTGTTTTGGAGAGTAGGCTTTTTTTTTTTTTTAAACGCTTCCTCCTGGTTTTTTGGTTGGTTTTGTTTTTTTTTTCCCATTGGAATGAGCCTTTGGAAGTAAAAGCTGACCTGGATCACTGTTGGCTCTTCCCAGCTTGGATCAGGTGGACCTGTTGGGTGCCATCCTTTGGCATCCCACTGGCTGAGCCCCAGAACTGCTGGTTGGTTGTTCCAGTGGAAGTTTTCCAGTGGAAATTCCAGGCCTGGCTGCTCCCTTGAGTCCTTTGTTCCCTGTTCCCCTGAATCCCTTGTTCCCTGTTCCCCTGAGTCCTTTGTTCCCTGTTCCCCTGAATCCTTTGTTCCCTGTTCCCGAGTCCTTGTTCCCTGATCCCACTCCCTCTGCCGGGAGGGTGTTGGATACACCCAGAGCCTTCCATTTTGCCCAGTGGATCCTGCACTGGAAAATGGCTCGGGGGGTGATTCCCAAGCCACAGGATCCCATCAGGATGTTGTTTGGGAGCCTGTGGAGACCAGGAAGGGGGGATGCCAAGGGGACAACAAGTGTCTGTGTCACCTTCTCTCAGGGAGCTCCAGAGCAGTTGAGGTGTTGCCCCGACACTTGTCCAGCCAGAGGGATCCTCCAGCTCCTCACTCCAGCTGGGTTTTCCTTCTCTTCCCACTTTTCCCCTCGTTCCAGTTGTGCTCAGTGAGCTTTGTTCCCAGCAGGACTGTGCTGAGCTCCTGGTGATCCCCACGGATCCTTCCCAACCTCAGGGTTCAAACCATGCCAAGGAATTCCAGGGCAGCTTGAGCTGAGCTTAATCCTGCTTCTGAGGGGGCTGCTTGGAATGTCCCTTCCCACAGTTCTCCCCTTTTCCCATCCCTTGGGATCAGCCTTGGCCATGGCAGCACGTCCCCTGTCCCTCAGTGTCACAGTTTTCCCGGAGCTCCGTGTTCTCACTGTCCCTGCTGGGCTGGGACACTTCAGGCATCCAGGATTTCAACCTCCTCCACATCCAGGATTTCAACCTCCTCCACATCCAGCTTGGAATTCCCTTGTCCCAAAGCCAAGGAGAGGGAAAGGTGGTTTAACAGCAAAGGAAAAATCCCAAAGTGATGGGAAGGCCACTCACCTTCTCCCACCCAGCAAATCCCTGAGCAGTGACACCTTTCCCAAATTTCTTCCCTCTGTTTTTTATCAGCTCTCTTGGATATTCCCCTTCCCAGCTCCTTCCCCACCAGTGGCCTGATCATTCCTGGGAAGCAGAGTGGGAATAAAGGGAAAGGCTCCTTGCTGTGCTCCAGGCACTGCTGTGTTCCTGGCACTGGTTTGGCCTCAGTCCCAAAATCCAGTGTGGGAAAAATTCCCTCCATCCCAGCTGGAGCTGGTGTGGGGCTGAGGGGACCTGCAGCTCCATCCTGAAATCCTGAAGGGTTTTCCCATCCCTTGGGATCAGCTTTGCTGTGTTCCCGGCACTGGTTTGGCCTCAATCCCAAAATCCACTGT